CCTTCCTGATCTCGTTCACGAGCAGACACGTACGTCTTGTAATCGCTTCGTGCTGCCTGCGGTTGTTATGACTGTCAAAGACAAGTCCATCAATCTGGAAAATGTAAATGTGTCGAAGACGAACCTGAACACACGGGAGTTGAAGAGATCGAGCACGGAGAGCGCCTTGCTCCTGCTGCTGAAGTCAGGAGATGCGAGCCATAGCAAGCAGATAGCCTCGAGTCTGTGTCGAAGTTCTCGCCACTGCGCGTGAGTGGGACGGGTGGTACGAGGGGAGAGGACGTCGAGGGGAGTTCTGGGAGGAAGCGACGGAGCAAGTTGCAGATAGGTCTGCAGAAGTTCGAGCACGTTCTGGAAGTGCCGCTCTCGGTCAGGTTCTCCGCTCCCTGTGTTGATGATGAACCTCCGCTGCACGTCCCCGTCCAACTAACGCCAAGTTGTTAGTTTGATATCGCTTCTGTGCTACTCGAAGATGTTGACTTACCTCATGATCGAGATCCTCCAGGTGGGCCAGCATGGCTGAAAGGCCCGCCAGCAGCACCTCATCAGCGTACTTGGCGAATAAAAAGGCGAGCGCGTTGACTCCTGACTGTCTCTCTTCCATTCCAGTGGCCCACGCGAGTGATCGCACGACACGCAAGGTAATCTAAATGCCAATAGTCAGTCGTACATCTTCGGATCGAGAAGCACACGCAGTGCGAAAGGAGAGCGTACTCGCTGTCGTGAGAGCACCGGTATGTCAATATGCGGGAGGCAATTTAGAATGCCAGCAAGCACGCGAGGTTCCGGCTCGCCTGTTTCACCCCAGATGCTGCTGAAGAACGCCAGGAACTTGGTTTGATACGGCTTCATCTGCACACGAGGACGGCATAGGATGAGCGATAGCTGTCGTCCAGATCAAAGGGGAGGTAAGGACGAGAAGAAGCTTACCAGGTCTGCTTGATGCTTGAGCATGCAAGAGAGGACGCTAAGGCCAAGCGAAAGCTGGAGGACTATTACGTTCGTTCCGGAGTGAGGCAGCTGGAACAGCACCATAGCTAATCCTTGCCGTGCATCGCGCTGCGCCTGCACCACAACATACTCGTTACTCTTTCTTGCAGATGACCTGAAGCAGAGAGCCTGTGAATTCCTCCAGACGTACAATGGCTTGTGCTATCTGCTCCAGCAGGTGGTATTGTTCGCTCGACACGGCCAGGCTCTGCCACGCGAAGAGGAATTGGGTGGCCGTTTGCATCTGTCGACTGTAGCTCTCGCCTCCTTCTCGCACGTAGGCTTCGTTGAGCGTCCGCAAGTAGCTGAGTATCAAGCTGAGGTAGTGGTGCGGCGAGGAAGACAGCAGCGGCGTCGCAGTTGACGACGAAGCGGAGGAGCTCATGGGGGGAGAAGATGACGGTGCCGACGAGGTTACGTCCTTCTTATCGACGGGCTGTGATTGCTCTTTCTCTCGGTTCCGTGATCCCTTCCATTCAGCGTTGTCTTCGTCCTTCGTCTCCCAGTCTCGCTCTCGATCATTCTTCGCGCACGAGGTCAACCGGGCGATGAGAT